CACCCCCCCTCCCCCCGCCGTGGGTGCCTCCAGCATGGGGAGTCCACAGACAGGCAGCCAAAATGGGCAGCCAGCCCCATGTGGAGCCCCCAGCTCCCCGGCCCCAGGGATAGTGACCCAGGTACATGCGCACCCAAACCCAAACTCAGTCCATCCTCCAACACACCCTGCCTTGGGCAGGGTCCCACGGGGGGCTCATCAAGCTCCTTTGGGTGCTGCTGGGGTGTCCCTGCTCATGTCACCTCCAAGCTCTTTATTCTCCTCAGATGGCCTCAGGATTTTGCCTGGATTTTGATGCCCCTCCCCACCAAGTTTACCCTGTCCAGACCTCCAGCCTTGCTGCAGCAAAGACCCCACCGGCACCACTGACCCCCATAACAAGGGGTCTGGGGGGGCCTGGAGCTGCACTGTGACCGCACAGACACATGGTGCTCATGTCATTGCTGTCCCCGGCCACTCCGTCAGTGGGACAGACACAACATCTGGAGCTCAGGTATTTCACTGAACAGCTCTGCATTCCCACTCTCAGCCTGGAGGAAAGTGCAGTGCCATCAGGCCTTATGCATCCCATAGATGATCCGACCATCCACACTCCAGGCAATGACGCTAAAAATCTCACCCAGCTGCCTGGCCTGGAGGGGGTGACCAAACCCACCTGGTCCAGAGGGATCCCCAGGCACCCCAAGAGCTCAGCCACACTCCATCTTCGGGCTGGACCAACCCTAGAGTGTGGCTTCCCCCTGGGAACCATGCAGCTTCACCCACCACTTGCCTCTGTCTGTTAATGGTTTTTTTTTAATCTTCTCATTTGTTGTTGGATAAAGGATTTGGTAACGACTTTGCTTCTGCTCCCTCTAAGTGTAATTCTTTGATCTGCTCACCTGTTCAAATCCGTGTGAGGCAGCTGCTGTCTGGCACCCTAACAGTGCTAAACAGGGATTCCCTTAGTCTTCCCCACACTCTCTGTGCCAGTTTTTGATTACTTTCCTGCTAATGCTTCTGGATGCAGATAGAAAGAACTCATATCTTATGCTTGAACTCACAGAGCAAAGGAAATTGCAGGAAGTGAGTGAACACAAGCCATTTTCTGTTATTAATTCATATGGCATCCCGGTGCTGACCCAGCTACACGGTGTTATTACGCTGCTATTCCATGAGTTAAGCAACATCTCTATTTAAAAATAATCATAAATTTTATCAGGCATCATTTCTGCTGAACAAGAGTGTGTTTGTGCCAAGATGCTGGGGATCCTTGTGTTGCCCCAGTGGTGCTGCCAGTCTCTGCTTCCTGTGCTCAGTGGATGTGTCACTGGATCCTCCCCATCCTGGCACAGCTGCACTTCTTAGCTTCTCCTCCACCTGTTCAGGTACTTGTGAAGCAGTTTGCAGTCCAAGCCAAAGCCTGGAACTTCTTTTTCTCCTAGAGCCTGCGTTAGGCTCAATGGGGTCCTTGGTGGCAAGTTCCACTGGTTAAGGCTTGAGCAAAAGAGGCTTCGTCCCCAAGTGTTCATTCCAAGATGTGAGTGCTCAATAAGCCTTGCAGAGCTCTCCCGGACTTACTTTTGGAGCTGCAAAGTTTCCCTTTTCTCTGCTGAGTTGGTTCACCAAGACCTCTACTTTCCACCCCAAACCTCAAATAATCCCATCCTTCAAAGCCCAGACCGTTCACCTTTGGCTGGGCCCGAGTGCCTGCGCCCTTGAGTGGTGTCCCTACCAAATCCCATTCCTCATGACCAACTCTAACATTGGCCTTTGGATCTGGCCATACTCTTACTCCTGGGCTTAGCACCTGACTTTGTCATATATACATACATGCTGCATCATCTTTCATAAATACCTGTTGTGTGTTACCATAAATGTATATCTTTATGCTATGTGTGGATATTCTCAGCATGTCTTCTGAGCTGTGGTGATGTGCTATGACATGCTTCTCTGGGTTTTACACTGATTTATTTTACCATTCTGTGAGACATTTCCAGCAGGCCAAGCATGCCCCAGGGTTCGGAGTGAGCTCCTTAGCTCAAGTGTACCTGCCGTTCCCTGTGTCCTGCTTCGAGCTCTACTTGGCCAGACACACAGGAGCAGCTTTGCCAGTGGGTTCACTTCACGCCCCACAGATGAACAAACTTTTGCTTTTTGTAATCAAGTGGTTACTTGTTGTAATCAAGTTGGTGTTGGTCCTGCTGGCACCTTCCTGCATGCAACCACAGCTTCTTTCTGCAAAACTCACTACTTTCCAGTGTCACAAATGGATCATTTCTAACCCTCAGCTTTACAGATGCACCGATAGACGTAACACCACTTCACAATCTCTGCCGCAGCTCCTCTGAGATGCCAGAAGCTAATTTGACCCTAAATTTCTTCCTCGTCATCTGCATCAGCCATCATTGGCTTCATCATCCAGCTGCATGTTCAGGATTTTATTGTCTTTCTGGATTTATAATGCCTGTGGAGAAGGACCTGTTCTAACAGGATGGCTTCTTCCTCACTTGGTGCTGACTCTGAGCCGCGATGCCACGCATGTCTTTGCTTTCCACTCAACCCGAGGGAGCCATCAGCTCCACATGTGCCAAACCTTCCTGCCCTGTGTCCCGGATCCCATCTACAGTGTGCATACCTGGCACTGCACTTTGCTGTCTGTGCTTCTGGCAGTGGCACCTGGGGTGCTTTTGCAGTGATTCATGTCACTTTTATTTACTGCTTGGTTCTCTCATTACAGTTCGTTTGACTGGATCCTGCACACATCAACAGCCCTTTCCAAAATCCAGCCTGTTTCTTGTGATCTTGTTTTGCACTGGTGAATCACTCATCACACAGATAATTCACCCACAAAAAAATGAGCTCATCTTCAGCTTTCCAGAGAGAGCTTTATCGGCAGGTCTGGAGCGGGACGGGCACTGGCTCCAGCACCTGCCCAGCTGCTCTGAGGCACCGGAGGGACAACCCAGCCCAGTGTGGCTGGGAGAGACACAAACGTGGTACCCCACTCCACATCAGCTCTGTTCATTCTCCATGCTTCATCGTGCCCAGCTCCATCCCTTCAGGATTGTGTTTTCCTCCTGGGGTAGAGTATCAGGAGAAGGGACCCCAAGTTCCACAATTGCCACCTGCCCAGGCTGAGACCCTCCAGGCCTGGCTGAGGTGGCATCAGCCCCCAAAACAGCCCAGTGCAGCCACCAACAGAAGGGGAATGCAGTGCAGCTGCCACATGGGTCCACCAAAGCTATTGCAGGAGGTGTCTGCAGCTTCTGGGATGTGCAGCTTGCCCAGGCAGAGCAAACACCATTTTGAAGGAAGGATGCTATCAAAAAATCTGCCAAGAAACCAGCAGAATCGCTTGTTGCCAGATGGTTGCTTAAGGATGCAACCAGCTGATGCAGAGCTGGTTGCTCTGCTCGCTGTTTGAAGCAGCAGAAGTGTGTGGGTCGGTGGTGGTCAGGACCTGACATTGATGCTCTTGCAGTACAGTCCTAACACACTGATGGGGGTTTGGATGTGGTTGTTTCTAGGCTTTTAGCCCTCTACGGAGACTCCACCGTGAGAAAAATGGTGTTCAGATCTGCAAAGTGGTCTAGAGCGTGTGGATCTTCCATGTGTTACCACACACAGACCTTGAGATTATGGGTATTAAAAGCTCTGTGGCATGACAGACCTACATGTATGGTGTTCTAGCCAGCTTGAAGGTTATGGATGTTCCTAAACTGGTCCCAAGGGATATAATAATTATTTTTACTATTCATTTGGTTTAGGGATTAGTACTGTGGCCACTTATGGGAGCCCTTGGTGTGAAGTGGGTGGCCACCTTACTGGTGCTGCACTGATGGCAGGAGGGCAGGGAGGAGGAGGAGGGACATACATGGGCCAGGGGGAGATCAAGGCAGCAGGGCCAGAGACCATCTCCTTTCTCCTTGAGTACAGTGACCTGTGGACCTGGGGTTGCTCAGCTGCCAGAAAAGAAGACTCATGGAAAATGTCTTGCTCTCCACAGTTATCTCACGGGAGGAGGGAGGGAGGATGAGGATCAATAGCCACACACCAGGACATGGGACATTCCAGCTGTATTTCACTATAGCTAGGCAGGGAAAAGCTTTTTCACTTTGAGGGTCAAACACTGGATCAGGCTGCAGAGTGGTGATGGGATCTCCAGCCTTGGAGATGTTGGAAGCTGCCCTGCACAAGGGCCAGAGCAACACACTGGCCATGCTTTGAGCAGGGGACTGGACTCCGCTATGGGAGTGGGACCAGCCACAGTCCCTGCAGGCAAGTGGGGTCCCCCACTCCCATCAGAGCCCCCTTCTTCATCTGGGGGATGCATCTCCCCCAGCCCTGTGTATGCACAGTCTCACGGACTCCCAAGGCAAGGAGGGTTTCCCATCTTGCTGGTGACCCCACAGCATCACAGTTATATCAGAAACTCCTCCTGGTCTTGCAGTGTTACCAGAGGCTGATGGGGCGATCTGGAGCTCCCTGGGGGCTGCTGGCCTGGGCAGGGGGTGACCACAAGGACCCGGAGCTGCACTCCAGGTGTGAGAGGGTGCAAGGAAGACCCATGTCCTTTAGAAAATACTTTGTGCCCAAGCAAAATGGGACAGAGGTGGCCCAGAAATAGAAATGGCAACTCAGCAGAAACCTTCTCCCTTCCCATCCAGCCCAGGTAATGCTGGGTTTAACAGAACCTGAGGGATTTGAAGCTCAGTAAAAACCAGAGCATGTACCAGAACTGGGATATGGCTGCTTTTCCCAGCCCTCCTTCACCGAGTTGGGTGGGTGCAGGGTTGGTGAAGCAGCTCTGGTGACGGCGATGCTGGGGCTGAGGCAGACGCCTTCTAATTGTGGTGATATCCAGTGTTTGTTTTTCTGGCTCCCTGAGAGAGCCCAGCGCTGCCTGCACTTGTAACTTGACAGTGCAGCTGGCCTGGATGCAGTGGTGAGACACAAACTGGGTCAG